CTGGATGGTGCATGTAGGACACTGTGCTGAAACTAGTAAACTACCCAGGTTAAACAGGTTTTGCAGCATGCAACAGTTTATTATCTATTGTTTTTGTTGATTTCTGTGGATTAAGCACTCGACAGATCTCAAATCAGATGCCAAGCTGCACACCATGATGTTGTCAACTAAAAGGCAACTGACAGGAATTCTTGAATTGATGTTTTTTTTCTGCAGGGTTTGGATACAGTGAACATATGGGTGTTACAATTCAATGATTTATGAAAGCATTGTGAATTTATAAATTCAATACGCCTACACATGTTGCCCACCAATGAATCGTATAAATTGTGTATCGATACTTAACATTTACGATGTTTTCCAATGACCTGGCCTGATAACCACTTTGGTTAGCTACCAATCATGAAACAAAATGCTAAATCGGATTGCATACTACTGTTACAAGGCCAAATTAACCGGACACAGTTTTTACATCACGAAAGCACGAGCATGATTGTGTTTCCTGGGCCCCATGGAAGATGGGAATTTCACGCAATATTGGAGCAAATTAAGTTGGTAGTATGTCCTGTATTGTGAGTCAAGTATCGTGATATGTATCGATACCCGAGGTAGGCATATCATGACCACCCTTTTGCTACAGATACAAAGCTGCTGCTCTTGCAACATGACACTGCTGTACCAGCCACAGGACACAACTGGTGAGATGAGGTGGCTTAGAACACTGGGGCACAATGGTCAACTTAATGTTTGTTACAGAAGACATGCAAAAGATACTAGAATTTGTTGAATCCCATTCAGAATTACTATTTGTGGCTAGTAGATTTATTGCATGTGCATTCCTGTGTATGTTCAACTTCCCTTGAAAATGTGCTTATGCACAAAAAAGTGTTCTATGTAAATATTTACAACTGTCTTTGAGAAGATGATAACCAAAAGGCAAATTTTGTCAACTAGTACCTGATTCATGAGAATAGATACCTCAAAGAACTATCTCTATACATAACATAAATGTGATGCAATGCAAATACTATCAGGAACCAGTCTGCATAAGGGCATATTTGCAGGGCTTGAAACACTTGTTACACTAGCGGCAAGATACGAGATGCATGTATAGCTGTGGTAGGACAGGGCAAATATTTGACAAGTACTGTAGTGTTCAGTGTCATGTATCAATGTCAGGATGGATGGGTGTGTGTGTGTGTGTGTGTGTGTGTGTGTGGGGGGGGGGGGGGGGGTATCATTAAATTGACCATCCTTTGTGGTTGTTAAAAACACTTAACACAAATTACTTGTGTGTAGAGTAACGTCTGCTCCACAAAAATATACAAAAGCATTATGGCTAAAGGAGAAATAATCAGACCTTGCACCTATACAGAATATTAGCATTCCAAACCATTTTCAGAGAGTGTATTAGTGAGTTGGGTTTAATGTTGCTTCTGTAATATCATGGCATATGAGAGAGAAAAATAAATGTGACACAGGTCATAGAAATGTACAACTCTTTTTGAAACCCATGAGCATAGGTATGATAGGTATGATGCTGACAAACCAGGATTGTACATAGGGTCAAACAGAAAATCAAAATTAAGATCAGCGGATCCTGTTGTAACCAAGATCCACAAATCCAAGGTCAACCTATGCCCCCTTTTTGCAAGACATATCCCCTTCAATATATTCAGATACATGATGTTCAAACAATTACACAAAACACCAAATAAAGGACAAAACAATTACTGGCAATGATCTTGAATCAACAATAGCTTTCTCACCTCTTCAGTTATATATAACTAAAAATTGAATAACAGTTTAGAATAACAAGTTTCAAAAAAATAGATCAGGTTATTGTCACAAACATTTTACCGTCTAATTAAAGTCCTTCAAACTAGAAAAGCCTTGTAAACCATATTAGAGCATATCTCTTTTTATAAGATCTCCTGTATTATATATTCTCTCAAGCTATTCTGTTGCGCGACGACAGACTGAAGGCTGCAATCAGTATTTCATGACTATCTAACTATTATCAGCCTGTGATCCCTGATCATCAATGAGCCTCCTATCAACTCTGTTGTTATCCCCATGAGTCCACCAGTGTTTGCTGGACTCATTACTGGAGATACCTCCTCACCAGTCACAAGTAAATTGCATAACACTATGTGATGAGGGTGTATACAACCAGCCACTCCTCCCTGTCAAAATCTCATAACACATTGTACAACTGAAGGTGTACAATGCTTTATGTTCTCAAATTGGTTTTATTTTGAAATGAACTAAAATTGTGTGAGTTTGAAAATTGTCTGAAATTTGGACCATCAAAATTAAATTTTCAAAATTATCTTAAATTAAAAATAACCAGTAAAAATAGTTCTTTTCAAACTGTTGATCTATAATTGTCTATTCCAAAAAAACTTTATCTTATATTTGCCATAAACATATGCTTTCAAATGTGACTGAACTTAATCATATTTTTTGTTCATATTCTCAACTTAAGTTTTGTATGAGGTTAACTTCTACAAAAGTTTAACATTAACTTCATTTATTATGTTAAGCAAAAGACCTCTCCTTGTATCATGATACTTGAACAGTTAGTCTTGTTTTCTTCATCTTGTTGATAGAAATATACCTGTTTTTATGCTAAACATGCTTCTTTATTGACATAGACATTTAATTACACACACAAGTTGTGCATTCAAAAAGAAGCACAAGAACTTGAATCAAAACACTTTTTAAAAGAAGCTACTAATCCTAATGGATTTATAATTTCTACATCTACTCTTAATCAAGTCCTTGAAACACACATACTGGGAAAACCATATTCAAATAATTTATGTATACCATACTGTCGCAGTATGCGTCATGCTTAATTAAATATGACCATTTCTATGTCAAACGTGAAGCTACTTCAAACATTGAAAGTGTGAAAGAATTGAATATTGTCTCTTGACAGATGTTACATCTCATCATCTGATTACCTATCAAAGACCACACATTAATGACTTTGCATTTTGCATTGTGTTTATAGAAGTTTGGCCTACACATTTCTTTCAAGCCTTTTTAAAAGAGCTGTGAAATAATATGTCACACACATGATTCAATATACTTGAATCGAAATATTTTGTTCAATAAGAAAAACATCATAAAATATTATTTCAGAGTAAATGTAACTTTATTTAAGGTCACATTATTTTGCCAAATTATTGTTACATTTTGTAGTCCTTCAGACTCATAGGCACAGATTTACCAGACAAGAAATCCTGCATCCTATACGCATAAACAATGAAAACAGACGCAAAACAAATTTAGGCTGAAATGCACTGGGACGAAGAAAAGGCATATGCATGCTTAGAAATGAATGCTGGTATTTTATTTCATAATTTGGAACTACAAAAATTAATTTCCATATGTGATCATTTGAAAAGTACAATACAGCTTCACGATCTTCTTGCTAGCACTTGTAGATTCATTTCAGTTGGGGAACACTGTATCTACTTTTAAGTAACGGTCTCTGAGCATGTACAATCTTATGTCACCTGTGGCAGAGTTCACAGGGGCAGACACTGTTGGTCAAATCAAACTGGAAGCTCATTTCAGACTAGTGGTTTATGTAAAATACTAGACATTGGTGGAAAACAACTAGTCTCTCTGGATTTTTACTAGTCTCAGACAAGTGGCCTTGTCTATTCTTGGTACTGTATTCAATTTGGGACATTTCTCTGGACTCCCATTTTGTAGTTTAAGCTCTCAGTTGTCAATGCTATAAATCAAATCTCTGCATCCTGTGCAAATATAGCAGTCTTTGCAAAAGAATCTTCAAGCCCAACATGGCACTTAACATCTATTTGTTTTACATTAAGTGTTATCATATGCACTTTCTTTAGCTAAGCGTACCAAACTGAACAGAAGTTTACTAGACTCTGGCATGAGACTAGTGGCTAAGGTAACTGTTGTAATCCTGGGTGATGTCCTCATGATCTCTTATGATAAACATTGATTGTGTGTCCTACAATGATACTACCACAAGCACCCATGTTTAATTGTAGAAAAAAGGTATTTTTGCCAATCCAGTTTCAAATTTCAAATAAAGTTCCCACATCATAGAACCCCACTTTTTACATATTCAAACCAATATTTTATTTATATCTTTAACAAACTTGCCATGTCCTTTAACTCAAAGTGATTGCTCCAAACAGATGTGCGTGCAATCCAAACATGATGTTTTTCATGTTGATATTATGCGCTGATGAACGAAAAGATAGCTTGACCCCTTAGGAGTTGAGAAAGACATACAACATAATAAATATGTCCATAATGCGTTATTGAAATAATTGTACTCAACACTATTGACTGACAAGAGAATTCAAAATTAATAGAAAAGTAGTTAGATTTGTCTTTTTATGTAGCATTAATTGCAAGTATAGGCTTTTAAAGCCTCAATAATTAATCTACAGTCATTAAATTGATTCATTTGCAGACAGACAGTTTTGAAAGGTTATGTGTTTTTCAACTTAAAATTGAAATATTTTCTGCCATAATTAAATACCAAAAATAGATTGTACTCAAAAACAGCATGAAGACTTGATAGCTGACATGATTCTGTTACAGTGACAATAAACTTTAAAGCTGATACAGATAATGAAGGGTGGTTTAATTTCATCTAATATATGTACATGAAGGACCAGGGTGCCATTGTACAACTGTCAGAAGTGTGAAGGTATGGCAATAATGATCACCTTAGCACTAAGATGGTTTGTACAACGGCACCCAGGTATGTGTTGGCTGATGACAGAATGGCATTCTGCCATTATAAGCCTGACAACTAATTAAGCCCTAACACATCCACACAAACAAAAGCAATGTTCAATTATTGTCCAAAATGTAGGTTGTCATAAACCAAACTTTTGATCATTCTGAGAAGGGATTTGTTAAATATACATGCAATGTCCTTGCACAATTATTGAGCAAGTAATATGATTAAAAAGTCACAAGAAACATGTATCAATTACCTGTTCATCCATATATGCCATAAAACTGGATATGATCTTTAGACTGTTGCATATCTTCCAACAAGAGCATGAGTACTGAAAAGTGATAAGAATATCATTATGTTTAGTTACAGACACTGAAAACGATTATTGTATTTTTTCCCCAGTAGGTTACATTCTTTATGTGTACACCATAAAGACAAATAGTAGAAAAGAAAAGGTTGCATAACATTATCACATTACTTTATTTCTAATATAAAAAAAATAACAACAAAGTATAGATCTAGATCTTCATGTTTGCTTATTTTTTAAAAAAAAATACATTTAGTATTTCAGAACTATTCCAATGTCAGTGTTAAGAAGTAGTCAATTAATTTATGATGGTAAATAGTTTCTAAATTGGTTTCTTTTTTTTAAATATGGTGTTTGTGCTTTACTATCCATAGACACACAAATCACTGTGAATGCACAAATTGACAGCCATGAGACTGAGGGGAGGTAACTCTTGGCTGTATCATATGAGGAATTTCTCCCCAACACACCACTGTAAATAACACACTGTGTAACTAATAACATTGAGAAACGAGAAATATCTACAATCTAAAGTCTGTGGTTCAACTTTACTTCAGTTATTATCACAATAACATTGATCAATATGATCACTGCTAATCTAGACTGGTGCCCAGCTTGCACATATAATACATGCTGGAACATTTGCAATACAACTAGGTTCATATTAAATGTAGTTATAGAATATTTTTGCCTTAGTCTCTCACTTTACTCATCCATATGTATATATATATGTATATAGATCTAATGGATGTTCCAGAATTGAAAACTATCATCTGCAAATGACAAGAAACTTTCCATAATGCAATACATCTAAAAATAAGGTTGTTGGTTTTTTTTTTAATTACAATTTTTTATCGAGAGACGACATCTTAGAATATCACAAAACATTGAAAGAGTTGTATTTGAGATGCAGAGGGGTCTGGAATACAAGTTGCATCAGTTGATTTTAGTTACTGATTTTCAGCATTCAAAGAAATGATCTTGCACTGGTACAATTACTGTGTTGTCTCACTGATAACTGTTAAGTTAAGTAAAGTGTGTCATGCTAGAAGTGCAGCATATTGAAAATAACAGTTACCCTTACCTTCAGGCATATACAGCATGTTTATTTCCAAACAATATCTGACAATACCGGTACCATTTCTCTAATTAACTTGTTTTCACACCATCGCCAGATCATTGGATTTCGCGGTGGACATGTAAAGATAATTAATTCCGCAAAAGATACACATTACGTAATATGTACATAATAGCCGTTTGGACAGGTGGTAGACAGACCCGCTAATTAACTGCGTTGTTTGAAACAAAGGCTCTGACCAGGTGTAAACAAAGCCGGCCCATGTCAGACTGCGGCAGCCAACGAGAAACGCTGGCCTAGCTAACAAATGTCAACAAAGCTTGAAGTCACCTGAGGCTATTATCGGCTTTTGCCTCATTAAATTTTATATTACAATGTTCGGCGTATCGATTCGAAACTTATTAAAATAATTCGTCAAATTCTGTTTAGTGTTATCGGCACGAGATCATTTCATTCATAGCAAGTGAGCGAACTGGACGATTGGTTGGCTAGCAGCCGATCCGATTCAACTGGTTCGCTGTGGACAGTTAGATTTATCTATTGAGCCTTGACAATTTGCATGACAGACTTCAAAGCCGCATGCTTGAACTGGCACCGGTCTCTACCAATACACTGCCAATGTTCAGTTATTATTTACTAAAAGAAGCTGTCAATTTCAGGACTTCTTACCAACGCGTGTTTTCTACTTCCGCCATTTTGGCCGTGGAATTCTGGGTATGAAGACAAGATGGCGAGAACTTGAAAGGGGCCGTACAAGAAGGTAGGTCTTTCCGTAAATTCAACTGGAATTAACGCCTCAATAAGTGACATTTTTTATGAAAAAAGTCGCCCAATGGCTAGTTTTTCCATTTTTTTAAATTTTCTTATTGATCATTGAATGTTTTCCATATATTCTAAAGAGAAAAACACACTTCATTGTCCGTGCTCTAGTCCGTTTTAAAATTTTAATTCAGCTCTCAATTTGCCCTTGAGTACAGCGCAATTATGATGATATTAGCCAAACGTCAGCATAGAATTATGGAAGCCATTTTGTTTTATAAGATCTTCAACACTGAGACTATGAAATATATTCATCTTTGGTTGGCATTTGGAAGGAAGTTGGAGGCAGGAGAGTCAATATTTTCAACTTATTGAAGGGCGCAGAGCGGAGTTTCGACTCGCTCAAGGTTAGTTATTGAAGATTTTTTATTCGATTTTTTTTTCGCTGTCCCGAGTTATGAGTGGGCAGTTGTGGTTAGCCGCTCGGGTCAGGCTAGTAACGAACACAGGGCTGCTTTTGCAAGTATATCTGAGATTTAGGTCACGAAGTAAGATCATTTAGGTAAGTTTGTGCAAATTAATCCCATGTGCTTGCTTAGATTTGTAGACTTGCAGTGTAGTATGTGTGTACGTATTTAGTGAACAGGCTAGCGGTCACTTGATCCGTAGGGCTGAATGTCGGCTCGCCAAGTTGAATATTTTTTATGGGTCATGGGGCAAGTTTAGAGAGACTTGAAGTATGGGCGCGGTGTAGATGTTGGCTTGTAGCAACTTTTTTCACAACATTACTACGTTGTTGCACTTTGATGCGCTCGATGTCGTTACGTGTAGTTAATTAGTTAAACAATGTTACGCACGAGTATTGTGTTGTCCCATCATCGTTCTAACATGTTTCTTGTTAGTGGGACACACCTTTCATTAATTTAGTGAAATTTAAAACAATTTTCATTCAAGTATCGGACTTTGTAAGTCGTTTGTAACTTTTGAGGGCTACTATTTTGACAGCTGTCGGAGCTCGTCCTACGGACTGAAGTCGTAAATTGTGTCTAATTACAGGATATCATGGGGATAAGAGAAACTAAAATATTTGAATTGTTTAATTATGGGTGGGGTGGTGATCATAAACTTAGATGTTAGATTGCTTTCAATTGACACTGCCACGCCCATACGGATACACTGCAATGGCGCCTTGACACATGAAGTGCTGTAGTTCACAGTTCCAAATCATGTTCAAATATCACATTCTTCAAAATCGATATAAAGATCTACATGTTTATTTGAAAAATTAGTACCATTGTACACTGATTCATAAATAAGAAATAGGTAGATATGAATATAATTTCTTTTCTTTCAGATTTTTTTTGGTAAAAAAAGTTGAAATTTAATTTTAACAGAACAATAGGTTAGGATTGGGAAATGTAAATATGTATATACTGTTTCATGATTTGTAACATTTTTAACATCAATGACCTTAAATTTTTCTTTAATAAATGTGAAATCAATGTTATTCATAGATAATACTATTTTCTTCACTTCTTTTGTATTGCTGAGAGGAAACAGATGTTTAATGTGATCATACCTTTGTTTCACAAGTTATTTTGGGTTTTATTTCAATCAATGAGATTTGTCAACAACTTGCAGTTAATGGTGATTGCAAAGATCATTCATACCTTTAAGAATATTTTCCAACAAGGTTCAATACTGACCATTTTGTTGTAGGTTATCATGATCAATGGATTAATTTCATTGGCAATTGAAGTTCATCCACTTTCCAAGTGAAATGTGTACCTGTGGTACTGGCTTGACACCTTTTCATGATACATATATGACTGGACTTGTTTGGGCAGCTTGTGAAATCAACAATTCTGAATCCATATATATTTCAGATTATTCTATAACTGATTTCATTTGTTCAAGAAACATGTGGTAAAGAAAGTTTTGAATAAGGAAATATTTTCTTAATTTGGGGACGGATAATTGTTTTTTATTGCTTGAATATGTGACTGAAGTCCTAACATAAGTTTTCTTGGTCTATCAGAAGTATATCCAGGCACATGCATTGATTTCACCCAGTAGTCAATGTCTATGACCTGCGTCAAAGCCACGTTAATCTTAACACAATGTGATACAACTCACTCTTTGTAAATGTTAACATACGTCAGGAAGGTTTGTTACAAGTTGTTCCAAACATGTTTGATACCTCATATATTACTTCAGTGTCAAAGTAAGATAGATGAAGATTTAATGTACCTTCAAAAGTTATTACACATATGATTTATTTCACATTTGAGTACTTTGGTTGGGGGTTTACTCAATTATCATGAAGCAACATAGGTACCTGACATACTTTTCATACTTACCATTTCTCACTAACATGGAAACTAGGTCACAGTTATTTTTGATGTAGCTGAGCAAACGAAAGAAAACTGACAAGTTATTTATCTACAGTTTGAAACTTGAGTTGAAACTGACTAGCTTGGTATGATAAGCATGTACTATAAAACGAAATCCAATACTGCTGATAATATTCTTGTCAATCCTGTGGATATTGTTAAAGTATTGAGTCAGTCCCTCCCCAACACTCTCAATTCATCCTTTGACCACGCCCAACTCCCCCTCCCCCCATCACCACCTCCCACCCCCATGCATCATTGGCCTCCATGACAACTTAGTGCTCATTCATTTCTAGGATTATTGATCTTGGCAATATGGTATCAGTTTGTGGAGGATTTCACCTTTCTATTGCCTCCCCGTAAAAGGTTGGTTCTGCCCTTGTTTTTTGCAGTTAATTAGGTTTTAACCTGCAGTTGAAATTAATAATAATATATGAATCTCTTTTGATAAATTCATTGTATATTGTTTCTTTAAAACTTAAGCTATTTTAAAGTGGTTTTTTTAAAAGCACACACAAAAAGTTTTTTAATTTTGATGGGGTTTTTTTTCAATTTAATTTACAAACAAGTAGTAATGTTTTGTGAATTAGAAAAAATATAGTAGATGATTAAGAACAAGATCTAAATAACATAAATTCATATGTTGCACATAAATTCAAAGTATTGCTGTTGAACTGGTCCCTTTAGTGCAGTTTCCATCCAACCGACCACAATGCAGAGTGGATATGCATGGCTGACCACCCAGTTTACACAAGTCGTGTGTGTCATGTGTACTGTTAGAGGTGTTATGGCAATTTATATTGTAATCCCCAGTTTGTGAGTTGATGAGAGTGATCATCTGTCAGATGCTGTCAACACCAGTGCAATATGCGTGTAAAGTGCTCACCACCATACATACACATCTGTCTACAAGCCATGTTATAGTGAGGGAGTGAAGGAGAAACAGTTACTCTGGAACAACTCTTCCCAAACCAATCACTGATCTCTGATTTGGGATGCAAACTGGGATACAAGGCGACTTCCAAACATGATGCACGATGCATCAGGCTAGTAAGGCAAATAGTTCTCAGGTTTATCAATGATGTGATAGCTATTGTGTCAAATTTTTTGCTGAGTGCTGTTATGGTTCATTACAGTATCACTGTATGTTAATATTCTAGTCAGTGGGGAAGATATTGACTGAATTACAGACTTCCTGAGAATGTAGTATCTATATTTAACAGGGTATGGTGAATATTGTTTACTTCAGCACCAAGTTTTTAAAGAATATGTAAGAAAACAGTTTGAAAGTACAGTATTTGAAGTGTAGTAATTGACAGTAAAAATGTTGACAAATCAGTACTTTCAGTTTTACCTGCATTGACTTGTGTTAAAACGTTTGAAATAAGTTAAGTGATAATTTGGAAACTGGAAATATGCTATGACTTGTTCAGCATGCAATATCATATCTGCAGTATTGGGAATTTGAAATTTAATTGAAATTTAAATACTTCTCTAAGAAAACATTTTCAGTATTGGTACAAATGTTTTAATCCCTGTGTGATGGAAGTTCTTCTGAACTGTCACCTAGCAACTGTTGAATGTTTACTTTGTCGAGTCTCCATTTAGAAATTTATCTTTGTAATGAATATGCTGACCCTTTAAAGCGGTTTCAGGAAAGGTAAAGCGATCCTTATGATATCTCACAAGTTCGTAACCAAACAGATTGCATTTCATGTTTTTGTTGCCTGTTGCCATGTTGGAGGAAATATTTATCTTCATCTGATCATATAATTTTTTTCCCAAAATGGTATTGTATTCAAATTGAAATTGAAGCATCATGTGTTTTCATTAATTTTAGACTTGTTGAAGAGTGTCATGTTTCTCTATTTCTATGACAGTTTGTTTAATTTAACAAAGCTTGTGATAGAGTCAGGAGGTCTGTACATGTTTGTATATAGACTGGGAATACTGGCCTGTGGAAACAGTATCAGATGATATTTTGCAACAGCCAATCAAATCTCGTTCTATGATCTTGATAAAGCTTGACAACCAATCACAGTTCTCAATATCTATTATTACTCGTCTGTTTGTTCAAATCATTAAAATCCTATTACTTGACAATTGCCAGAGCTATACAACCTTTGGAAAAACTTTCAATGGGTGTGTTCATCTGATTTCTTTATCATTTTACCGCCCACTTTTGAATATTCATAGTGATTGTCTTTGCTCATTGTTTTGAGGATAAAATTCATTGTCTCTCTGCAATCGCCAATTATATTGGTTGCATTTTATAAATATATTTATCTACACTGAGGCGCATTTACATAGCTATGAATATTTATCATGGGCTGTTCGTAAATGTCACCCCTGGCTAATTAATTTGTATTAATCGGTATCGCTGTACATATGTCAAATTGTTTGAATGTTTTGATCAAATATGTGTCATATTTATACAAAATCAATAAGAAAGCTAAGCATACGAAATTAGATTGGCTTTTTAAAGATCTGTCAAATTCTCAGCTGAGCGATATAAACGCATGAGCAAGTTGTGCCTTCACATTCACTGCTAGTGTGACAGTGCTGAGACATGTTTTCTATCTGAGAGACTTCTCAACACACGGAATTGTTTTTCTTACTTTGTACCAGGATTCCTGCCTATATAGGTAAGCCTTTCCTTTCATCACTGTCTTCTCTTATTCCCTCGTTTACAAACATGTTTTGGCTGTTAACTTACCATTTAAAGATCATCTGTATATTTGTTTATTTACAAATTATATTTTTTGACAATGCATGTTGGAAGTATGTTAGATTAGGGCAATGAGGCATGGGGCTCTTGCACTTGGTACAGCTATGGCCCCATGTGTTGCTTCGGTTAAAACATGGTAGTAGTGCCCAGTCAACAGCCCTCGCTATAAGGAAACACAGGAGGTATTGTCACGTCTTTTATGGTTACTTATGCCATGCCCATCAAGGCTTCTCCAGGAGGTTTGAATCATTTCTTTTTTACATCTTCTCAAATGTTTAAGGCATCT